TTAAACCCATCGCATTTCCTAAGCCCAAATAGCTAGCAATTTCAAATAATAAATAATCACTTACTCCAATATAACTTTTGAGGAAGAAACCCTTAGAGTTCTACCCACAACTATATATAGGCTTTATTTATACTAATCCATTGTGTGTGTATTCTGCTCTTTTTCATGCCAGTATATTTATGTGTAAGGGTTATTAAGTTAATCTACATCAGGTTTTATAGAGCGGGTAGCACTACACCCTGTGACAACTGACAAACACATCTGAAATTTTGTTAAGGATTTTTTCAATACCTGTCTGAGGCAATTTCTGGTATCATGTTATAACCAATCCATTTCAAATTTGCCATCCCTAACTCTGTAACTTGATATATTTATACATATTAACCCAATGTGTAACGCAATGACAGAGATGGTGGATGCTATGAAAAGTGTGGCAAAAATTGGTGTGGAATTAACAGTAGAGGAGAGGAATTTACTGTCGGTTGGTTACAAGAATGTGGTCGGAGCTCGGAGGGCATCTTGGAGGATCTTATCCTCTATTGAGCAAAAGGAAGAGTCAAGAGGAAATGAACAGAACGTGAAGAGGATCAAGGAGTATAGGCAGAAGGTAGAGTTGGAACTCTCCAACATTTGCAGTGACATCATGACTGTGATCGATGATCATCTTATCCCTGCTTCCTCTACTGGAGAGTCTACAGTTTTTTATTACAAGATGTGAGGAGTGGATCTGTGACCAGATTTTTCTGTCTTTTAGTTATTTCAGTTTTGGGGTAATTATTTGTTCAATTTTACTTTTTGATGGCAGGAAAGGGGATTATTATCGGTACCTTGCCGAGTTTAAAACTGGTAATGACAAGAAAGAGGTTGCCGATCTTTCTCTGAAAGCATATGAGGTACACATACTCCGTAATTACGGCTTATTCCCTTTAGGGGGGAAACATTGCTAGGGATCATGAAAGCTATGCCTGGATCTTGAAATTTGCTAGGGAAGGGGGAAAACATTGCCAAAGAAAGTTACTTACTTGTATTTGATTTTTATCTTGAAATATGCAAAAGGAAGTTACAAATGGTAAAATTTTAAATTGTATAGCATATGTTTTCTTTTCTTATTCTTTATGTTATTGAAATGAATAATTAAAATTACTTTGACCAAAATATCAAAAATAATGTAGTTGAGCTCAAGACTTCGAGTCAACCTTTTATCTTCCTCCAAGTTTTCTGTCCTACCATTTTTTTCTGCCCCCATTTTGTTTCCCTAATATTTCAGGAGTTCCAAAACCCTTAGTTTCTGCATGATATGCATTGTCCACTTTTTGTTGTTTCATATTTTGCGGCAAAGAGCTGTCATTCAACATCATAGGAAAAACAAAAACTGTTTTGCTCATAATTAGCTTACAATATTGTGGTATGTTTAGAATCTAGTAAGCTGTTTCTTATTTTTATTTATATTAATACTTCGTATTTGTTTGCTCTATCTGGGGACTAGTGTAAGATTATAAAATCAGAACTCTCCAAATATATTTATATAAATACATTTATTATTTACTTCTCGCATGCCCTATTTTTATTCCCATTCCTTTTTAGGAAAGATTTGTATACTTTTTATTGTATTTCTTCTTTTTACCTCAACCCAATCGTACAATTTCATTTTTCTTAATAAGTGTGCTAAGTGAAGTTAAGAAGAAAACTTCGAGAGGGAAATAGCCAACATTTCTTTCTTTATTTCTTTTATTTTGTCAGTCTCTACTGTGGATTCTATACATAGATCTGTGCTCATTCATTCATTGTTCTAATTTCTTGTAGATGGCTACTAGTTCAGCTGAAGCGGAGTTAGCACCTACACATCCCATACGCTTGGGATTGGCTTTGAATTTTTCTGTTTTCTTTTACGAAATCATGAACTCTCCTGAAAGGTGCTTTTTCCTTCTTGTAAATGGCCCTGTTGTGCACAAAGTGCTCCAACTAAACTTGTTGAGCATATTTGCTTTGAGAAACCTGTTCTAGAATTTTTTTAATTACAAGTCTCATTCTTTTTTATTTATTTGTAATTATTCAGGGCCTGCCACCTTGCCAAACAGGCTTTTGATGAGGCAATTTCTGAACTGGATACCCTGAACGAGGAGTCCTACAAAGACAGTACACTGATAATGCAGCTTCTACGAGACAATCTCACCTTGTGGACTTCTGATATCCCAGAGGATGCAGGTAAGTGTATTCATTTTTTCACCAGTGATGTAGTGTTTCTACTGTTCCCCAAATCTTGCTTTTGTTTTGAGCTTTCCTCCATCTTTTGCTGCTCATATCTTAAGTTCTTGACTATGGTTAATACGTAGTATCATACTTTTTTATAGTTACATCTTAAGGTTTGGGTTAAATGACCAAATAAATCAAAACATTGTAGGATGGGGTACCACTATACCTCATATTCCAGAAATTATTTATTTAATGATTAAAAGTAACTGTAATTATGTTTTAAATAATTCACTACACCCAACCATTTCAGCCAAATTTTACCCCATTAAAAAGGATCTTACTTTGAGTTTTCAATAAAATTCCAAATCATATTCGGTATCCTCACTACATATTTATGGTTCATACTTTTGACAGAAGATGCTCTTAACAAAACTGGAGGTGGTGATGATGCAGAGGTGCGTATGTTGTGAATTACTTCTTCCGTACCTAAATAGTTTTATATTTTCCTTTATTGTCGTTTGTTTCTCTATTCGATAAAAATGTACATCTGTCCCAAAATAATCATGTTTGACCATTGCAACTGGTTGTTTGTGGTAAGGCACGCCATCTTTCATATTCGATAAATATTTTTTTGAAATTGATTTTTTTTCTCTTAACTACATTTATCATATATAGTTCTTCTCATATATAGTAGCTTCACTTAATCAAAATCAACAATATTTTTTGGACCAAATAGTTTGGAAATTGTGCAGAGGGATTAGGTCTGAACTTATGGCTATGCCCTGCTTTAATATCCCCATGAACCACCATTAACTACACCCCACCACTAAATTGCAAAGCTGGAATGCCATGTCAAAGTGTGAATGTTATTGTGGGACAGATTATGGATTAAATTGGTTCCCAGTAAAAAATTCTTGGTGGTTGAGTGTATCTCTTCTGCGGTGTTGTTGGTTGCAGTGATATGGCGACAAGTGATGCCTACCATTTGTCTTTGGATAAGAGAGAATGAGGATCCACTGTAGGGGGCGTGTATGTTTCTTAAGTTATTATTACATGTACTTATTGTTGTTGCAACTTTGTAATAGCTTTGCTTTGTCTTTCGATTTGGGAGTCAACACTTTGTTTGATTTGGTATCTCCATTCCTTTTTATGTCTACATAGTGAATGGTTTTTTAGTATTTGAAAGAATATTGGCTTTGCATGTTCGTGGTTTTGTTTTCACGTCCTGGCACAGAATTTACCTGTTGGTTCTCATTATGCTTCTCAAACTTTCTAACATTTCTCTGTAGCACCTATGAGGTGACGAGGTTACGTGATCAGGTGATGAGGGTACGCTTTCTAGGGATACGACAGAACCAAAAAAGTAATATACTTATATAAGTATATTGGTGTATACTTAAAAATATTACTCCGTAGAAGTTATGGGGGCGTAATAGATATTAAAAATTACAAGTTCTTTTTCGAAAATATATACATATATTAGAAATAAATTCATATTTTATTTCATATACATTAGTTCATGTCGAAATATAAATATAGTTAATGCATTGATTTAAAATGATATGAGTCAAACAACCACAGTTTTAAAATTAAAAGTGCAAGCAGCAAGTACTCAAAATTATTGGATAGTGGAGATAGAAAATGGGTCAAATGCATAAATGGTACTTTAACTATTGGTAATGTTACATTTTGGTATCTTAACTTTTAAATGAATCAAAACGGTACCTTAACTATACATAAATATTTTGACCGTGAGATGGTATCTTAACTATTGTTAATGTTGATTTAATCAATGTATATAATCCCTCTTAGATTATTAATCATTAGACGCATGCACTAGTAAACTAAATTTACTATTGTTGAAAAGACTAAGCAGATAACAAGTGTACTTGTCGTTCGATTCTAGTTATAATTAATATGAAAACAAAACTAGTTTATACTTTAAGTAATGCTCATATATTAATATGAGATACAAATAGGAATGCAATTAATATTTAAGAGAAAATGATTAAACAAAATAACTCACAACTTACAAAATACAAGCTTCAAATCTTCAATGTAGCAAAATCAAGATGGGAGAGTTTAGCTCCTCATTTGAAGACTAAACATGAAATAAATATAAAGAAAACACTTATCTAAACTGAGCTTAAGAATATATACGAATTGATGTCTCAAATGGGAAGAAAAGAAGTGTATTTATAGGTGTTTGGAAGTTGCAGGGTTGAGCACCCGATCAGGGTACATGTAGTAGCCCAAAAAGTGACTTTTTAGGACATACTCGATCGGGTATATCAGTGTACCCGATCGGGTATAAGCCACAGTTTCAAAAATATCTTGCACGTAATTGGTTTGTTCTCAAGATTCTGATTTTGACACCCGAATCAACTACATACCCGGTCGGGTAATGCCTGTACTCGAACAGGTATATGAACAACTTTTTCAATCTTCTTTTTGTCTTGCTCCTTTGCATTTTCTTTGATCTTTTAGGGTCCAATCTTGATACAAATATTTGTTGGTGCCCCGCTCATACTTTTACCATTTATCCAATTCAACTTGTTTCTAAGTGACTTTGTATGCGCTTTTCCTTAAAAATCAAGAACTAGCATTGATCTTGTATGTTCAGTGCCTATACTCTCACCATATATAATTCACCTTACAATTGGTGTAGCCCATTGTTCATACAATCCGTATAAAGAAATGGTAAATTTTGATATTATTGACCCCACTTGTATAAGTCACATAGTTGGAGTCTCTTTGCTTGAACAAAATATTAGCCAACTCGTATAGTACTTCAAGTTTATTTTTTATCAAACACTAAATTTTATTTTGTATGCTTGAAATGTGTATGATCATGACCATTAAGGATGGAGAAATATTATATTTTGAATTCGCGGAACAAGACAAGTTCACATTTTCCCCACATATTCTTCCTATAATTTACGATTAAAATGCATTTTAAATAGTTAATACTAGACAATTTTGTACATCCATCTTGTTTAGCCATTTCAGTTACGGAGTACAAATTATGAATTTTAGCACATCCAACTAGACTGTAAGCATCAAGTATTCAATTTAAAAGGCTCAATTTTTTGTGATTCGGTGAATTGGCCGGCCGGAGTGATGATGAAATACGTAGCTAGCACACAGTCAACTGGATTCCTGAGTTGGTTATGTTGGTTGACAAAAAAAGAATTTGATGAAATATGGAGAATTTTGATTGTACGTATCGGCATTGGATCAATAGTCTGTAGCAAAAACATATCAGATGTTATGGAGGGAGAGATTATTTAATCATGATATACAAAGCTAGCTAGCGGTAGCATTCATATACCGTATTATTCTCCATGGATGGGGCGGTGGCATGCACGAGTAGAAGGTTAGGTTAGGTTAGGTTAGGTTGAGAGGAGTATGTATATTGTTGAGGCATCTCATTCTTTTCTTGGGGGCGCCCCGGCTCAGGGTCACTAGTCTGTGATTCTTTTTAGAGTTGGAATTGGGAATTGGATGGGAATCGGAGAAGGTGGTGGTGTGGAGCGAGGTAACGCAGCACTCCTCCCATTTCAGAGCAGCAAGGTCCTGTTTCACACTCTTCATATCCGCCGCCGCAGCAGCATGATTCCAATTCCCCCTCATCTCTTGCTGCTGCTGCTGCTGGAGGGTTGAACGCCCAAGCTGTATGAGCTCCATTGAAGCCACAGCCTCCAACACGCTGTTCTGCATCCCGCCCATTATGCATGCACATACGTTTTCAAACACAAATTATTAATTAAGCCAACGGATCGGAGAAACTAGCTCGCTCTACCTGCAGGAATTGATCGATGGAAGATGTGCGTGCGTGCGTACCTTGGAAGCCGAACGCATTGCTTTGAAACCATGCATATCAATGATCTGCACACACACATATATCAAGGAGGAGGAGGAGGAGTACAATCCATTATCCATCCATCAGCATTATGATATTCAGCAATTAACAAACAAATTGATTCAATTAATTGCAGATCAGATCAACATAAATTGATTACACTACTACTGGCTAGCTAGTTAAGTTAATTTATGGGCGGGCAAGCAAGCAAGTAGATCTGAAGATGGATGGGATTACCTCTCTGAGTTGAGGGGCGGTGAGGTCGAGCTGCCTATTGGTGTCGATGAAGTTGAGGTACTCGTCCACCGTCAATTTCCCTCTCGCTCTCCTCCCTATTCCAGACTCCGCCATATCTCTCAGCACCTAGCTAGATCGATCGATAGATCTCACTCAGATTCTCGATCGCTTAATTCGCCCTCACTCCGCCCTCCTATTACATTATTCTACTCGTACTTGTCTCGTAGTATATAAATAAACAGAGGGCGCGCGCGAGAGAGAGTCGAGGTCACATAGCCGGCCATTTCAAAATTTTAACCCCGCGCCCAAGTTTACTTATTGATGCGTTTTCCTAAAACAACTCCGTATATACTTCATATAAACAACACATTATTCACACCAACAAATTGCCTCAAATCAATATCTACATGAAAGCAATAAAAATAATTTCTTTTTCTCATTTCCCGTCAGCCTACTGAATTTTGAACTCTTTTAATTTGTTTCGTAATTACACCTGGTCCAAATCATTTAATTTTGTCTCACTCATCTCGCTGGACGGATTCAGGATTTCATATTGAGATGAGTTCTCCACCAAATTTGATCTCGATGAGATTTTAAAACAAAAAACTCGCCAGCAACAGAGTTTACATCTACACTAAGAGTAAGGTCTTTTTTAATATAGTGTCAAATAATCAGCAAGAAAGTCATCACCCATTTTGTTGCAGAGTGTTGTCTTTAGAAGTTTCGCAACAGAAAATGATCATTCTACTCGTTATAAGATCAATACAAAGCAAATCAATCTGCTCATCATAACATATGAACCAGATCTTTTGGACAAAGTTCTGAAACACATAGGTCTTGATAGAGAATACTCATTATTCTCATAATTTTGTGCATCAAAAATAAATTGAACACAAATTCAAAACATGGAAAATGTCTATATACACTACGAACTTCTGCCCGAGAACTCACTTTTGGACAATGTTCTTGAAGTTACTCAAGCACTTTATAAGTTAATGTGAACATGCCGATCAAGCTCTTAATTTAATCATATTTTATTGTATTTATTACGAACCCGTTTGGTGGCCCCTTTTCGGCTTATCGGGTTTATGAACCAACATTTTCACGAAACGTGTCATTTTTATTTTGTGCGCTGAATTGTGTAATAATAAGAAAACTAAGGTTAGAGTTACTTTTCTAGTTTTACTAACTTAATTTAATTCAGATTGAGTTGGTAGAGACAATATACTTAACAGAAAATTTTAAATTAAAGGTTGGACAGAAGTCATGAATAAAAGTCGATAACTATGAAAGAAACCAAAGTTAGTGTAGAAAGGTTCTGTTTGGGACATGAAAAATACATAGTACTAGGTAAACAGGGGAGGAAGATTTAAAAAATGGAAGGAATATGTTCGAACCGAACATATTCATTTTAGATATTAGATATTTCTTCAAAAATCATTATGCGGATTTACTTTTGTTATGGGCAGAGTCAGAAATTTAATTATATATTTTTTTTAACAAATGATCCTAGCTCATTATCCTTTGCATTTCCAACATGTAAAATCAAACATAAGAAAATAAGGTGCTTATTCATTGCATAGCGAGGGGAAACAAAATGATGTCATTGGGGACGACACTAATCACGTCGGCTTCTCTAGCTCCCGCCGCCACTTCATCACAGACCCAAATGAATATTGAGCACATTAGAAATGAGATTTATGTTAAACTCAAATGAGTATAATGCCTAAAATGAATGTGCATACACAAATGAGCTTTTGATTTTTTTAATACTCATTTTGTAAGTTACGTATGCTCCATTAATACTTATGTTATGCTCATTTTAAGTTATGTATGCTCCATTATCATATCAATAAATATCTCAAAAGTACCATATTATACGAAATTCATAAGAGTTGATTAAAGATAACATTTAATATTTTTTTATAAAATTATAAATTAAAAAAAGAAACTAAATTAGAAGAAGACGTGAATTGTTAGGCTTCACGATGCTCATTTTATAAGTTACATATGCTCATTTGGTACTTATATTATGCTCATTTTTTAAATGTCATATCAATGCATATTTCAAAAGTATCATATTACATTAGATTCGCATATTGAAATTCATATGAATTGATTATATATATAATTTAATGAGATTTTATAAAAGAAAAAATAAAAAAAAGGAAAGTGAATTACAAAATATGAAGTTGATATCACAATACTTATTATTTGACTCATAATGCTTAGTAGAATACATCTGATGTTCATTAAAAGTGTATCAATGCTCATATAACGAAAACCGCAATTTTCACTGAAATTACGAAAATGTCACCGTTTTTTAGTTGTGATATCATCTTTCTTGTAATAACACGGTGCTCATTATTAGATGCTTAGAGCATCTCCAATGCTATAATGTGCACAGTGCACATGTGGCATGAGTGATAGCCACATAAATATTAGCATATAAATTATCTCTCTCCTTATTTGACTGATTTTATATCATTTTGGTAAGTTTTTCCCTGCAATGTCAACATCTAGACGGTCTCCTTGACATCGTGGAGAAAAACTTACCAAAACTGTATAAAATCATTCAAATAAGGAGAGAAAGAATTTATTTACTAATATTTATGTGGTCATTTCTCATGCCACGTGTGCACCGTGCACATTTTACCATTGTAGATGCTCTTAATACTCATTAAAATTTTACTATTGCTCATTAACGGTACACTAATTTTACTAATAAAGTTTTTATTAGATGCTTAATACGCCACGAGAGCGGCAAGAACTTAGTAATGATTAGCGTTGCTCAATTAAATTAATTTCATGTGATTATGCCTGATCAGCTAGAAATCTAGGTACCCCGGAATCAATCCATGTTCCCTTCGTCCTTAATTAGAAAGAACCAAGCTTTTTATTCGTTTTTTTTTTTCATTTTAATTTTCCAAACCAACCAAACTCGCACTATTGCATTTATTTATTTTCTTTTTAATCGTTGAATTTATTTCATTCTTAATTTCCTTTTCTCCATTCCTGTGGAGACGATACTCGTACTTGCACCACTATTCTACTACATTTTTAAGTGCGAGAAAACTCACATCAGTTTTGGCGCCGTTGCTAGGGACAGTGTCAGTTTTAAGGGTTGATTAATTTCAGCGATTTGTTTTTAGTTTTTCGAAGTGTTTTTTATGTGCTTACCTTTTAGGTAAATTTTTAAAGAGGCATGAGATGGACCAATTCAGCTCAATTCCTGGAGGAACACCATTCCCTCAAACCTCCACGAAACATTCACCATATACGTCCTACCCCCCTTACATTCCTCATCAGTATTACACTCCTCGTCAATATTACTCTCCCATAGAACAAAATATTCCGTCTTCTTATTTTACCCTCCTCCAAATACGCAATACCCCCAATCTCATTCTCCTCATCATTATCCTTACTCACAATATCCTAGGGCAAGACCAGGCTCCATTCTTGAATTTGTTGTTCAAACTAAAATTCCTGATGAATTGTCCCATTACTTTCCTAAGAATAGCATTTGCTCCTTCTGTGGAGCTTGTCACCAATTATGTCTTTGCCCCGTTAAACCTCTGTATGATCATCCTTACTGGGCAACTACATACCTCATTTCATCTCCTCCACATTTATGAGCACAAATGTTCCAGTCATTCCTACATCCTTCCCGAGTAATGAGCCACATAATCAATTGAAGGAGGCAGAACATAAGATGCCTTAATGGCAGCAAACCCACATCAGCCTAGAAGAAACACTCCAGAAGTTTATGCAAATGACTGCATCATGTCTTAAGACCATACAGAATCAAGTGAGTCATCTTGCAAACGCCCAATCTGAGGAGTCCGAGAGATCCAATCCTAGTGAAACCAATCCAAGTGAACACGTCAAGACTGTCACGCATACAAACTGAAATGCCCTTCTCCTGACATCCCACCAGCTTACTCTGTCTTACCTCTGTCTCCATATTACAATTCCCCTCACGCCCCAAATTTGGTACAAGTCACTTATTCCCCGGATGTGTTCCCCCTCGACGCATATCGGCCCTCATCCAGGGTCCATACGGTTTGTCCCCCACCCAAGGTCCTGCATTGTTGTTCGAAGGACAATATTTGTTAGTGTGTCCCAAAACCCCACATATGAAGTATAAATTTGGAAGCTTCTCATATCTGAAGTACGCCCAGAACCAACTATCTCCTTCCTCCCTTAACTGAGTTCTTCTTTTCAGGGCATTCCTGATATCAATTGACACACGGATTCGAACAGACTCCTTACTTTTTCCTTTCAGGGTTCTTTCATCAATCTTTACCAGTCTCCCCAAGTATCGGCCAACTCCAATCGCCACTCTCAGTCATAAAACTGAGAGGTAAATTGTGAATTTGTACCCAGAATTCTGCATGGTTAAGCTCCACCTCCAGTGGCTTGTCCCTCTCTCCCACCCTGCTTATAGCAACTAGATTCTGATAATAAAAAAACATGGCCCATCCTGCAGAACTCGTGATATATCGCTCTCTTAAAAAAACTGAAGCATAAAACGCATATCTCCTATCTGCTCAATACTCACCCCTCAGCTTGGGCGTCGTATTATGGCCATTGTTTCCCTGAAAGAGACAGAACGGACAGGTTTATCCGTGATGACTCTAGCAACAACAGAGAAACGTGGGTTCTCTTCCTCCCCATTATGGACATTGAGAACTCCTGACTCAAACACCAAGCCACTATTTTCTTCCTCCTCAATCGACATCTTACTGTATTCTTCCGCCATTCTCTCCATGATTGAGTGAAAAACCAACAAAAATCAAGAACTACCCTACGACAAAACAGGTTCAAACGGACTGCACTCAAAATAACCTTTACAAACCAAAACCAGAGAACAAAACTACAGTTCACGATAGGCGCTTGCACAACAACGACATTTACAGAGAAACGCAGGACAACACACGACCAGAGGCAAAGCTCAGCCAGAATCCAAACAAATCGAAAATACCTTCAAGACTAAGCCAGAGTGACAAACCCGGTCCCCTGCCCCCTCCCTAGTTGCAGCGCTCTTCAATCCTCCTCACTGCTGCTTCTCCACGCTCCGATCGGCTCGAATCACCTAAGGCAGATGCGGATTTTATAGGGTTTGCCACATTTTTTTTTTGAAATCTTAATAAATTTTAATTATACTTTAATTGCTTGTTTTTATGAGTTGGAATAGGTAACCGTAAAGTCAACAAGTTGAAGGGCCCAATTGGTAAATACTGATAAGCTGGGGCCTGATGTTTTACTTGACTAACTTCGCTTCTCCAAATTACACTAGTATTAGATAGAATAATTTCTGCTTATGATCCCACAAGTTTTAGGTCAGTTCCACATTTAATCTATATCTTTCACTTTGTCCACTTTTGATACATGACTTGTGTTTTCGGCCATATATAGTCCTTCTGGCATTGTTTCTGATGGTTAAAATTGCCGGAAAAGGACCACAAACGGTTTAAAAACATTAGTCAAGTACCAAAAGTGGACAAAGTGAAAAATGTGGACTAAATGTGAAATTTACACAAAACTCGTATGACTAAAAGTGGAATTAATTCTATTAAGATACTATCTCCATGCCACTAATATTGGGACGAAAAGGGATGACATAATTATTATAAAAAATGAATTTATATTATTGATATTAATTAATAATACTGTCAAATTTTACCAAATTTGGTATGAGACTATTTTAGTGAATTTCTCAAAAGATAAAATGAGACAAGATTAATGGGGCCGAGAGAGCATAATTTAATACTCCATACGACTTAAGATGTCTTGACTTGGACTCTTGGAGTGAAATTTGATGGTCTAGTCTGGTAAATGTCTGATCCGTATATTTTATAATTATAGAACTTCGTCTATTTAAGTCTGGTCTAGCCAGTTTTTATATATCATTATTCCATTAAAAATAATTTATTATTAGACATTTCATTAAATCTCAATAATTTAATAGTTTTGCATGGCTTATTATATACAGTAATTACTAGTAAATGAAAAGCAAAATAAATAACATTCCAGTAGTAATTCTAGTCTGAAAACATATTAACGTGTTTCAATTGGGACACAAAGAAAAAGGTCCTTGGTCACGATCCTGCTTGCCATGTAAAGAGGCTACTGCCGCAATTCAGGACGCACAAAGTCAGCATCTGCGGGCACTGATATGTCGACAGTGGGTCTCAATTGGGCACACACTTCAATGGCACCGTGCACGGGATCACGGAGGAAACTCCCAATGAGGTCTCGGTTGACGGTGGCGCTGTTGTCCACAGCCACAAGTGCTTGCTGGGTGAGGATGTAGTCAAACCTAGGGGCCCACTTTCGGGATCCAAGCCTTGCTGTCGTTGAGCAGTTGTCGACCATGAATGAGACTCCGCGTGCGTGCATGAACGGGTTTAGTGAATCCACAGACTCTATCACGCTCTCGTTTATGATCTCCGAGTATGAATGACCCTTCTTCCTTAGAACCTCAATCTGAAAGAGCAACCATAATATATAATACCGGCAAACCGCTTCTACTTGGCCCCAATTGCTGATGAAACCAATTATCCATTGTATGTATGGCATTTGTTTGTTTTAGAAAGACAATTACAGCACCACCCCGTTGTTATATGTCATTTTCTTTTGGAAAGCAATTACATAAAATACCTTTTATGTAAAGGAGCCATCAGTTGCAATACAATGGAATTAAACAAAATGACTCACTAAATTGTCTGCACTTCTTTGTTATGAAGCAACAATTAGTTCATGCGATTTTCGAAGCGATTTTCACCTAGGTCATCCAGAAACAATCTCTATGTGCTTTAGTACAGGAGTACGGTTGCGTACATCGACCCCCCTTACCCCACCGTAGGTGGGGGAGCCTTTGCAGTAGTGGGGTATGATGATGACCTTTTATTCAGATAATCTACTACTACCTCCGTCTCTTAAAACTTTGCCAAAGTTGACCGGCACGGAGAATAATAAAGTAAAAATTGTGTGGTTGAGGATTGTACAGAGGAGAGAAATAACAGAAACCACAAAATATTGATTAAAAGGGAAAGTGACAAAGTTTTTCGGGACGTCCCAAAAAAGGAAAGATGGCAAAGTTTTAAGGGACAGAGGGAGTATATACCTAAAGTTTGTTTAATATGGTTATTTGGCATAAATGGCTTGGTTTGCGGATATGTAAGAGATGTGTTTGGTAACATCGCTTTCAACCAAATAAGAATTTGTAAGGCTGATTTATTATGCTAAGAAGCAATATAAAATTCAATTGAATTAAATTAAATTAAATAAAAAATCTCAACCAAACAGATGCTTAGAGTTTGTGCAAGGTAGAAAATGACTGAAGTTGCTGAGTTTACTAAATTAGCTTGATTGTTTAAAATGCACTTGTACAAAATTAGTTAAATGAAATACTCCCTCCATTCTCTAACAATTGTCTTGTATTCCCTTTTTAGGATGTTTTTTATTATTTGTCTCTCTTTCCCCTATTAATAAGTTTTTCCTATCAAAATACCATTATGCCCCCACTTTTATTACTCTTACCTTTTTACCTTTTACATACTGTTTTCTCTTTCCTACTTTTTCATTACTTTTCTCAATACACTCGCTCTATTTCCTACCTTTTCATTTACCCTACACCCTTTATATTAGCCTTACTATTTTCTTCTTAAGAATCGTGAGAAACCTAAAGAAACAGTTATTAGAGAACGAATGGAATAATAACTAAAATGAAGTATAGTAGGTTGTCTCCCATAGTAACTCCGCCATTTAACTACTGTTCAATATAATGGTTACTAAAATTACTACTATGGTCACATAAGCATAAAAAAGTAATGTTTTTGTCCACCGTCTTTATTTTAGTAATATATCAGTCATTATTTCTATTTAAAAAGTAGTCATGTTTTGGTCTTGAGCATTCTTTTAGTAATATTCATGCAAAAACCTCCTTGCGGATTTAGTCATACATTTAATAAATAAGCTGGATTGCTCAAAAATGTATTTTTAAAATAAATTTCATGAGTTAATCATAACCAAAAGACAAGGGTAGAGAGGTCCATTTACTAATTTTGGCCAAAAAACAAATTAGTTACTACAACTAGTGTAGCCACTCAAGTTAACGCTTTGAAAAACATCGTGTTGAAGAACAAAATGAGCACTTTAAAGGAAATCAGCAACAGCAGTTATGAAGAAGAAAACTAACCTGAGCCATCATAAGTGCCACATATACACCCGCAGTAAAAGGATTCAGAGGACCAAGATAACCTGCTGGTCTAGCTGCCCGTACACGCTGACCGACCTTCCACATCCTTGTCTGGTCAATTTTACCCATTGGGAAAGCAGGCAGACCCTCCTTTTCCTGCCCCATTTTACCCAGCTTGTCAATACTAATGAATAACTAGACTTAGTGCAAGTGCGTTGCACAGGTTTCTCAACTTATGAGTATGTAAAATAGTACAAATTATGACTAATTTAACTATCTACAAAAATTATCAAACCTCAAATAAATACAACAACAACATCCAAACCTCAAATACATATATTGTTAAATAGTACAATAATCTTATATGATGGTTTAATACTTTAATAGTCTTTAATCACTTAAAGTTAGGGTACAAAAAATCTAAATACAATGATTTTGGGATAAATAGTCTCGAATGATTTTGGGATTGCCTAACAAGAAAAATATGATAAAAAAGATAAAAAGATAAGGTGTGATAAAAAAAGATAAAAATGATAATAAAAAAATAAAGATAATATAAGATAAAGATAAAAATGATAAGATAACAAGATAAAATCATACATATAAAATAAAAAAGATAAAGAAGATACGAAGATGGAAAATGATACGGGATTATTTATGTATAAAATTTTATAGATAATACTTCCTAAAATACATTCTAAATGTTGTCTTTTTAATATTCAACACATATTTTGTTCAATCATCTCAATATTTTCACGGAATGTATATTTTATTACCTTAACCCCATAACAAATTAACTTAATAATATTAAAAGATAACACCACCACAATTTTTACCAGTATAGCTAATTTATCCGTATAAATTTACATGACCTATAATTATAAATTTTATGTGAATGAATTAACAATATAATATTTTCTTTATTTACAATTAATGAAGTCTATTAGGATATACTTCGTATGTATTTTTAATACTTGATATTTGGACCAAATACAGTAATATAAAATATTATATTGAAGCTAGTTTAATTGTTTGTGCCTTCTACATGAGTAAATTGCTATGTAGTAATTTGACATAACACATTTTTTCCCCGATTATAGTAAAAAAAATGCTTAAATTGGTCAAAAAAATTCATGAGGAAAAACTCATTACTACTTTTGATTCCATCGGTTTCTTACTTTCTTTTATAAAATTAATATAATAACCAAAACTATTGATAGTTACTGCTACAATTGTACATAACAAAGCGATGTAGTTTTTAGTCAATGCATCCTTTGTATATAATACAAGCTATATTTGATGCAAATTATACTAAATAATTACGCATACTAATCATTAATATGTAGTATAAATCCGGTTTACATAAGGAGGGGATATACAAGATCTAACTAATTCTAGTTTAAGTGTTTATATACATTAGAAAAATAATAGCCAAATATTCATACCTCAATAATATTGTTGTTATTATCGAGGTATGTAATTTATTATTTTTTCCAAAAAGGGCCCGTAAAGTTGGGATGGAAAGTCCTATTAAATTAACACCTAGCCTTGTAAACTTAAAAGATTTTGTTGAAAATATTATTAATCATTATTAAGTAATAAATAATTATCAAAGTAAAATAGTGTAGCACCAATACCAAAGCAAGTAGTACAATTGTGTAGCATGAAATAAGCATGCAAAAAACAGAAAATTCAGAACCCTCACTTGTGTCCAGATGTACGGGGCTCACCATACATCTGGGTGTACGGTATACGGACTGCTTTTTTGCAATCTAAACCTTGAGAATGATGTTTCTCAGATGATGACGCGATTTCAAAAAGTTTCCGAGAGTTTGAGTTTGCAAAAAGTGTAAACACTAACTGGCAAGAGTTTCTGCACATTATAGGGTGCCACCAAGGTAAATCTGCAATTCAACCAAGAATGTATGCAATTATTTTTGTTTGAAGAAAACATTAGGACCAACTTACGTAGAAACGACGACCAGCCAAAACGACGCTCCGAATTTCACTACCAGCGGCTACATCTTCATAGCACTCATACAAGATGTCCATGCAAGGGTAATATGAAGCGCTGTATGCGATTTCAAATTCCTTCTTTCCTTCATCGGTCAATGAATTGTACACAGCTAACATGCCCTATTTTGGGGAATAAGGAAAGTACAATTATGACAAAAGTATACATAAGAACTTCAAAACCAGACCATTCATCAAGCAGGTCAAGGCGACTGGTAACTGGTTATATCTGCTCACTAGTGTCAGATGGGACCATAAAAATTCATACTTTTTAATCTGAATATCAACTACCTAACTGTAATTTAGAGAAAACATTTACAATACTATGTTAATGTTTTATTTTTGCTTTACTAAGCATTCTAGCGGTAAAATAAAGTATGTTCTATAAAAGAAATTGCCCTAAATAGGACCAACATTGTCAAAATTCCTAAATAGGACTTGACTAGGACTCCAGATTACATTTTTGACCTCTTATGATTAAACCCAACCGATAGACTCCTGGGAATCTGCATCTGAGATTACTCTTCTCCAGATTACTCTTCTCCCGATCGACACCTACCTGGGAATATGCAATTTCTCCACCTGCGATGGAAACGCAGCCCCTCCGCCTGCAATGAAACGCAGCCCCTCTGCCATCAATGGGGGCCGCCCTCCCGATCGACGCCAGCCGCACCAATTTCTCCGGCGAAAACAGGTAACCTTCTCTAGATTGTTCTTCTTTCTTCTTCTTCCTCTTCTTCTTTTTCTTCATCTCTCTTCTTCTTCTCTCCATCTTTTCATCCTCTTCCTCTCCCTGATGCTTTGTTTTCTTCTTCTTAGGATGATTCTGATTTCTCTTAATTTCTTTTACTTTTCTAGTTGAATAAAAAAACTATTTGTGATTTGTAAACATTTAGATGAAAGGTGAGGTTTCAACGAACAACCAATTTTGGGTTTGAGTTTTATTTATTTATTTACTAATTCTGATTCATTAGGAATCTGAGAATGCCATAATTATTAGTGGTGAGAAAAATGCTACTTTTGTGGCATTACATCTATCAAGAGGACAATATTACTTTGAACTTTGAAGTTACAAAATTTAGGATGCCGTGGTTTTTGCCAGTTTGACAAATAATGTCAGTTCTATGCCATTAACTTTACAAATATAACAATTTCGTACTAATTTTCATTTTTCTTTTTCTTCCCATATTATGATTTTTTTAATTTAAATTGTCATTATTTTATTGTTTTAATATCATAATTCTTACGAAAATGCCACAAACTTAACCTAAAAAATTATTTACTTTATCTGAAAATGTCATGGGTTTCGCATCTGCACATGTCATACTTTTAAAGAAAAGTCATTACTATGTCATTTCTAATAAGATGGCAATCTTGGCTCGCCGGAGACAGGAAAGGAACTTGTCAACTAATGGATGTGTTGGCTCGTCAGCCGGTGATGGTGGTGGTATGGATGAAGGGCGGCGACGACTGTGATTCTTGGAGGATGGCTGCGGCACCATTTCTGAAGGATGACTACAGCCCCATCGCTAGAGCCTGGATGATTGCTGCAATACAGAAACCTAGAGTTTTCATATTGAGGGTTATTATCAAGTGATAGGAATCTGGGTTTAGTAGGCTATTAATAAGAAATAATAATAATAATAATAATAATAATAGTAAATGTACATGTGCTAGTATAAATAGAAGGGAAGGGGATATTAGTTAATATCTGGCATATCCCTGTGTGGATATTGGCTATATAGATAGGTTAACAACGGATGAAGTAGGCTGTTATTTGGTTGGACTTAGATCTTGGAGACTAGGCATCTCGAATAGTCCCTAGCACTGTACACCTATTTCGATTCCTATCTACTTCAATAAACACTTTCAATCTGTTCTTAGTCTGACTTCTATAGAATCGCTACTGTTCTACATCGATTGCTACCAGGTTCTATCATTGGTATCAGAGCACTAGCTCCTGGTCATCGGAACTGTGGCGCCACATCAACAAACTCTCATTTGCGTGGTGAATGATCAGAACGAGAGCTAAAATAGAGATTCACATGGATACTCTGGAGTGAAAACTACTGGAAGTGCAGGAGGGATTACAATCAGTGGTGAACGATCAGCGTTCAGCAATGGAGAATTTGGCAGCAAACATGACGGCATCCATGGCCACGCTGAGTGAACAGTTTCGGTCCAGAGCGAGATCACGATCTCAACATCGGCATCATGTGCGATCTTCTAACAGTCTGACGAGTGAGGTAATCCCAATCACACTCGCATCCCAAATCATAGAGGATGATAATCGGTTTACGGTTCAAACTGGTCGAAAAATTGATCTACCTGTTTTTACTGGAGAGGGTGCGTATAATTGGATTGTGAGGATGGAGAGATATTTCCGTTTGAATCATATCAATGAAGAACAGGTGGAAACAGCCGTAGTCGCTATGGAGGATATAGGGCTATAAATTGGTTCATTTGGTGGGAGCATCAAACTGAAAGGAGGAATTGGGAGACTCTGAAGGCATCTATCATTCGCAGGTTTCAGCCAGATTTAATAAAAAATCCATATGGACTCCTGCTAAGCTTGAAACAGACTGGGACAGTGAAGGAGTTCAGGGATGAGTTTGAGATGGTGATAGCACCTCAGATTAATGTGGACATGGGGATTCTGAGAGGAATTTTTATCAATGGCTTGAAGGATGAGATAAAAGCTGAGCTAAAAGCCTAAAATTACATAATTCCAATTCCTTAGCTGAAATTATGGACAGAGCTCTATTGATTGAAAGTAGAAATGAAGCTGTTTTCCTGAGAAGGCAGGAGGATGACAGATTAGGTGGGAAAGCAAGGGGACCAATACCTGTTAAACCTCAAAATTGGGGAGGACACAAAGAAAAATTTGGCAGCTCAGGGTTTAACAACAATGGCAAGAACAAGGATAAAAATTCTTGGTTTGAGAAGATGGGAAAGAGGGTGACTGAAATAAACCCTTCTGCAATCAGAAAAGTAGGACCACAACTATCTCAGGAAGAATTTCAGGACAAGAGCAGAAAAGGTTTGCGTTTCACATGTGGTGAAAAATGGAACAAGGAACATACCTGCAAACTGAAAAACTGCAAACTAATGCTTGTGGAGGATTCTGACAAGGCACCAGCTGAAGAAGAAGTGATAATGGAATCTAAGTTCATGCAGTTATCCCTCACGAGCCAAGGAGTACCTTCTATGAGGGCTTTCAAGGTTCAGGGATGTTTGAAATGGGGACAAGGGAGAAAGGCAGGTGGAAGTTCTTATTGATAGTGGAGCTACCCATAATTTCATATCTCAGAAGTTGGTGGAGCAATTAGAACTGTCTTTTAAGTGTTAACATCATTTCAGGATACAAAGTGCAGATTGGAAATGGAGATAAGATGTCCAACAATGGAAGATGTGAAGATTTAACTTTATGTATGCAGGGAACAGTCATAAAACAGAATTTCTACATTCTGAATTTGGAAGGAACTGACTTGGTATTGGGAATGGAATGGTTGACCAGTCTGGGAGATGTGGAGGTCAATTTTCAGAAGCAAAGTATTAAATGGAAGCAACAAGGGTTGAATCAGATAATTCAAGGAGATCCCCAGTTAAACTCCATTGAAATATCTTTGAAAACCATGTCACAAATCATACACGATACTGGAGATGGGTATCTTGTATATTATGATGGCAGTTTATTGAATGTGGATGAAGGAAAAAAGAGGGATCAGGTTTGGGAAAATATAATGGCAAAATTCCCAGAAATTGGAGAAAGAAGTACTACCTTTGAAAACGTAATTTCAGGGAGTTTTTATCTCCAGCATCTGCATCTGCACCTATCTGCGGTGAAAGAAGGGATGATGAAGTTCCAACAAGTTCTGGAGTTCATGGTACCACAACCAGTGAGGTATTGGGTAGGCAGAGGTGCAAGAATGAAGTGCAAGTGGAAGATCATGGCTGATTCCTATCACCCACCTTAAGGACAAGGTGGTTGTTTAGGGGATGAATATTGATAGGAATCTGGGTTTAGTAGGCTATTAATAAGAAAGAAAGAAAGAAAGAAAGAAAGAAAGAAAGAAAGAAAGAAAGAAAGAAAGAAAGAAAGAAAGAAAGAAAGAAAGAAAGAAAGAAAGAAAGAAAGAAAGAAAGAAAGAAAGAAAGAAAGAAAGAAAGAATGATGATGACGACGATGACGACGCCGACGATGACGATAATAATAATAATAGTAGTAAATGTACATGTAGTAGTATAAATAGTAGTATAAATAGAAGGGAAGGAGATCTTAGTTAATATCGGGCATATCCCTATGTGGATATTGGAGAATGGGCATCTCGAATAGTCCCTAGCATTGTACACCTATTTAGATTCCTATCTACTTCAATAAACACTTTCAATCTGTTCTTAGTCTGACTTCTATAGAATCGCTATTGTTCTATATTTTTAGTCCTAAAAAACATGGTAGTCCTAGTTTTGCATTTTCCATTGCTTTAGTCCCATTTAGGGAATCTACTCATTCTATAATACATGAACGAAATAAATACTACCTCCGTTCTTAAATAAATGCAACACTTTGACTTTTACACTATTCACATGTTCTACTTTGACTACGTTTTATTTATTAATATAATAAATTTTTTTATGAAAAAAATATTGTTAAACTTGTCTCATTGTAAATTTTCATAATCTATTTTTTTTTAATTTTTTACTAATACAAAATCATATATATTAATGGTCAAAGTTGTGTCTCGGTAAGTGTGAAATGTTGACCGTTGCATTTATTTAAGAACGGAGGAAGTATGAAGTATATATGTTTGTTGACCTCATGTAAAGATACCAAATTTGAATATAAATATTACTAAACCTATTAGCTAATGATAAGTTCTCGAAGTTTATACTCTCAAATCAAATTGCACTTCGTAAGTTTTTAACACAAAACTTCTTAAAAATTATTATGACTTGTCTGACCAATTCCTAGTAGTGGCCAGCTTGCTGTATGAACTATGAACCCAACCGGTCAATGATCCAGTCTCAAAAACATCTATAAACAAGCCTGTCAGGTTTTAATAAAACTGATAAACATTGGCACACCTTCCCCAACCTCAAATATACAAAAGTGTAGGTAATACTTTGTCTTTAAAAACTAAAACAGAAAAGCAAATGCAAAGAACAATTATAATTTATAGGAAATTAAAGCTTACAATCTTGATGGAGGAATTTACCTGTGTCGATATAGTTTTGGAAATAATTCCTGTAATGCACTCTACAGTATTCTTAAAGAGTTCTTCATGCCAAGTGTGTGCCACATAACTTAAAGAGTTCCTTCCAGAATAAGCTTGTGAAAACTGCATCTCTGTCGCTGACTATTGTTTCAGGCAGGCCGTGTAACTTAAAAATATTAGAGAAAAAGGAATGAGCCACTGACGCGGCTGTGTAGGGATGTGACAATGCCATAAAGTGAGCGTATTTGGAGAATCGATCAACCACTACATAGATAACAGATTTACCTCCGACCTTGGGTAGCCCGTCAATAAAATCCATTGAAATATCAGCCCATATGTGTTCAGGGATTGGTAGGGGTTGTAGTAAACCTGCTGGGTGCAAGTTTTCCCATTTATTTTTTTGGCAAATAACACAATTGGTGATGAAGTCCTGTACAGAAGATGCCATGCCTTCCCAATAGAATTCTCTTTTAATGCGATGAAGAGTCTTTTGAATCCCTTCATGAGTAGCATTATGAACTGCTGCGAGGATGGTAGGGATATAATTAAAGTCGGTTGGCACATATATTTTGGTCTTGTAATAGACCACACCATCATGGACGGACCAATTAGAATCCCCCCCTTGTGTTGCTGCTTTGTTGATAACAATCTGGCCTTCCTTGGAGTGCTGATAATGCTTCCTTAAATCCTCCATTAACTGGGCATGAACCATAGTAACTGCCATGAGGGTTGCTGGATTTGCATCCCTCCGTGATAGAGCATCTGCCACGCGGTTCAGTTTTCCAGGTTTGTATTCGACTTCAAAATCAAAGCCCAAGAGTTTACTCATCCAATGTTGTTGTGGTGAGGTTGTAAGGCGCTGCTGCAGTAAGTATTTTAGGCTGTAATGATCAGTTCTGATCACGAAAGAGCGGCCCCAAAGGTAGTGCCTCCAGTTTCGTATGGCTTGTACTAAGCCTATCAGTTCACGCTCATATGCCGGTAGCTTAAGGTGGCGGTCTGCGAGCTTCTTGCTGAAGAAGGCAATGGGGTGGTTGTCTTGTTGTAGAACTGCTCCAATACCCACCCCTGATGCATCACACTCAATTAGGAATGGCTTGGAGAAGTTGGGTAATTGCAATACTGGTGAACTGGACAAGGCAGTTTTGAGCTTGTCAAATGATGTTTGAGCTTCGTTGGACCATGAAAATGCATTGCGACGAAGGAGTGAAGTTAAAGGTGCTGCATGCACACCAAAGTTCCTGATAAAACGTCGGTAAAAACCAGCTAGGCCCAGGAATCCGCGAAGAGCAGTGGTTGTGACTGGTATAGGCCAATCAATGATGGCTTGAATTTTTGAATTATCTGCTGCCACCCCCATTTCCAGTAATCACATGTCCGAGATAAGCTACCTTTAGCACGCCAAAAACACATTTCTGCCTTTTTAGGAACAATTGATGAGTTTGGAGTAATCCAAACACAATTCTAATGTGTTGTAGATGCTCCACCCAAGTGTGACTGTAGATTAATATGTCATCAAAAAAGACCAAGACAAATTTACGAAGATGGGGCCCGAATACCTCATTCATAAGTGCTTGGAAGGTGGACGGTGCGTTGCACAAGCCAAAGGGCATTACGAGAAATTCAAAATGTCCATGGTGAGTGCGAAATGCTGTTTTTTCAACATCTTCTAGACTCATTCGTATTTGATGGTACCCTGAGCGCAAGTCGAGCTTTGTGAAGAACTGAGATCCGTGAAGTTCGTCTAAGAGCTCATCAATTACCGGAATGGGAAATTTATCCTTAACGGTCTGTGCATTGAGTTCCCGATAATCTACACAAAAGCGCCATGAGTTGTCACTTTTTGTAACCAGGAGTACTGGAGATGAAAACGGGCTTCGACTTGGCTGAATTTGTCCTCTTTTTAGCATCTCCAAACATTGCTTCTCAATTTCATCCTTTTGCAGTTGCGGGTAGCGATACGGTCGTACAACAACAGGATCTGCCCCAGCTTTTAGAATAATTCGGTGATCACAATTGCGTGGCGGAGGCAGTGCCATAGAATCAGAAAAAATGGTGTCAAAGTAATTCAAAAGCTCCTCCATTGCTTGATCATTAGAGATTGCAGGATGCATAGAGTACAAAGTAGTGCCAAATGGAGCTGCATCTCCTGTCCAAGTAACGGTTCGGCCATGTATGGTAAAGGTGACCCTTTGCTCCCTAAAGTTGCACACGATATCTCCCAATTCCTCCAACCATTTTACCCCAAGGATAATATCAAACCCCGTTATCGGTAAGACAAAAAGATTAATCAGGAATGTGGCACCAGCCTTACCAAGTCTCACTTGTTCGCACACACCTGTACTGAGTAGCTTTTCTCCATTAGCCACTGCCACACGAAAATCCTGGCGAGGTGTTATCGGCAATCCGAGTGAGAGGGCAGTGTGGGAATTGATGAAATTATGGGTGCTCCCTGAATCAATCATTGCAAGAACATAACTACCTGCCAATTGAACTTGCACTTGAAGCGTGTTGGGGTGACGAAGTCCAGCCATGGCATAAAGGGAAACCGTGGGCTCAATGTGACTTTCAGACCCTTCTTCCTCGTCATCATCCATCCAAAGGCAGAATAGGCGTTTGCATCTATGTCCCGGTACATATGTTTCATCACAGTTGTAACAAAGTCCCTTCGCTCGCCGTTCTGCTGCTTCAACTTTGGACAGCCTCTTCATGTACGGAGGGGCTGACCGAGTTATTGAAGGTCCTGCAACCGGTGGTAATGGAGTGGTGGTTGTTGTCGGGCAGTGCACTGGCTTTGGAGGCAGTCGTAAAGTTCTGGGATGAGTCGAAGTCCAAAGCTGTAACTTTCTCGCGAATAGTCTTGCCTCACTGAATGCCATAGTCAGATTCAATGGTTTTTGATATTCCACATCTATGCGCAAGACCTCATCTAACCCAGCTGTGAAAATAGAAACTTGGTATTCCATACGAAGTGGTGGAACACGTGCTAGGCTGTTCTGAAACTGTGTGATGTACTCCTCAATTGGACGGCCTTGTTGTTTTAGATTTGTCAAATCCCCTAATGGATTTGCACCACCAGGGGGACCAAATCTGTGGGTGCAGTAATCTCGAAAAGATTCCCAAGAGATATGGGGCTGGTCTTGGCGTAGATGGTGGTACCACAACTGAGCATCTCCAGTGAGATAGTAAGCAGCCATAGAGACTCGTTTTGCAGGGGGAACGTTCTGATTCATGAAGAATAACTCACAACGATAAAGCCAACTGAGTGGATCTTCTGTGCCAGAGAAAAGGGGAAACTCAAAATGTGATCCATGAGCAGTAGCCATGTGATTCATGTTGTCAGGTGCATGTACCACGGCCTGATCAGGATTGGCAGCTTCTGTTGTTGCAGTTTTACCTCCATCTGCAAGTAATTTTTCCATCAGTTGTTCAAGGCGATCTATGGATTCTTTCAGATTGGAGACTTCTTCCTTTGACGCAAACACCCCATCGCCCATGACCCCGGCAACGGAACCAATGTTACGGGCAGCTTGTGTGCAAGATCTCGTCACAGGCCTTCGGGTGAGTGGGAGGGTAGACTGAGCTTTGGAAGGGTTGGCTATGTTTACTGTTTGGGCAGAAAACTAAGAAGAATATAATTATGCAAACTTTTATCAAGTTGGAATTTTTTGTTGAGAATTCCAGAAACTCCCTCAGACTTTTCTTGCTAAAAACTTGCATGCTTTTTCCCTGCATTCAACTGGCCTTTAAATAGGCTTTACAGAGCTTGGAAAATAAAATAAAGAAAACAATTAAACAGAAAACAATAATTCAAAGATTGCAATCAGAAAATGATATCTCAAATCTCTAAGGATCTCAAATCCCTGACAGTGACATGTCTATCAGATTTGTCTGATTTATTTGTCTCCCAGATTTGTTTGATTTTATTTGTCTTCCAAATCAGTTTGATTTGCCATTGTGATTTGCTGACTTTTATCTTTCTTTCTTTTACGGTGATACTGACGCCCTGTGAATGCATCATGTACCTTCTAAATAGTGATTCTACAACCCCATGAACAGCACCCAATAAAATGCCTAACCATGAAAAATGTCAGAATCATCCATGACCATGTACTCACTAAAAAAGTACCTCACAGAGGGAACCAATATCACCTCGTTCACCAAATATGTCACTCTTATACTCCTGCTCTAGGGTAGTCGCAAATGTAAAGGGAGAACCAAGGGCAACTGACCACCCAAGAGCAACATCTGTTGCCCTACCGTCAATATCCTGTACATGAAAATAATTTAAGACACCATGTCCGATTGAACATAATGGTCTATTTTGATGGAGGATTTTGTAGGGAATGCTATGCAGGGCATTGAAAACGGTGGTTGAAATGTTACAAAGTCACATGCTATGTGAATCCTTCATATTTATATGATCTCAAATATATATCAAACAGCTCCTGCGAGTGCAGAAACAAGTAAGGAGAATAAAGAAGGAAACCTGATGGACTGCAAAACTTGAATTTATTCCAGCACCATTTATTTCCTTTCCTTGCACATATAATCTCCTGACTGAAGGGCCCATTCCTTTAGGGCATACAGCAATAACACTAATGTTATAAGGAAAGCCAAGGCCCAGCGATTGTAAATGGCCAAGAAGGAAACCGTGTGACAGCCCAAGTATGCTATTAGGCTTCATGTGTGAAAATATTTTCTCATAATTATCAGCCTGCATTGTAGCATGTAATTCAGATTTTTTTTTAAATGAATAAGAATAAATCATAGAGAAAGTTTTAAAATAGAAGTTTCTATAATTTATTCTCTAAATAAGACTCCACATCACTTTCTAGTTTCTTCCCCTGTATAATTAAATATGTTCATTCATCGATCCTTTCCTTTGTGGCTTCACGTCTCGTAAATTCTAGAATTTCTCTGACAACCGGGAGATTTGTCGAATGTTGTGGGTAAGGTTCTCCTCCTCCTCCACCTCTGATTTTGTTCTCTCCTTTTCATTTTTTTGACAAATTTGTTTTCAATTAACTTCCTTTTTTTTATTCATTTCTATTTATTTATAAAAATTAGATTTCATTTCCTAACTATTTTGATTTTTCCCAGTAAATACTCATTGATCCAAAAATACGCTTTCCAAAGATTATATTCTTTGGATTTTCAAAAAACACAAAATAGTAATTACTATTTCTATTTTTTATTCGAACATTGATTTCAAATTAATGCCATTTTTATGGTCCTACATTTATCAAGATGGCAATAATACTTATTTTGAAAATAAAGTATTTATATGCATTGTTGTCTATCTCAAAAAGCCAGTTTGACACTTAATGCCATTTTATGGCATCTTTACACGAAAACACCATGTTATGTGCCATTATCATTTTAACGAGGCATTACATAATATGTCAACATTTTTATAAAAATAGCAACCTCACCGGAGGATATGACGGCATCTCTAGAGGTGACGTGGCACCAGCTCCGGAGGATGGTGGTGGTGGTCTTGCCAGAGGGAGGTGGCAACGATACCGGGGATTGGCGGTCTCACCAGGAGGGCGCCAGTGGCACCAAAGGGAGTGTAGGCGTCATTGAGATAAGGGGTATGTAAATCTTTTATTTTTAGCATAAAAAACCTAGAAGGCGAGAACTTCATTTAAGGGCAACATTGTAAAGTGGCTACATCTTTACTACGGAACATGGATCTCTTATTTGTGCACTTCTTTAATGCTTCGCTAGTTCACTCCTAGTAGGGGAATTTTCTCTTTAAAAAATATTATTATTGTCATAATCATTTGCTGCCTTACTGGAACTTATGGGTTAAGAAAAAAATATCATCCCTCGATAGTTAGGGTCAGTTTGGAACCCAAAGTTCTAGGTGAAGAAAATACATAGGGGAAAATTTGGATTAAAGAAAATTTGGGGGACAATAAAAGTTTAGTTTGAACTCAATATACGGAGTATCAATTTCACATATTTGCTCAAACTACTTTTATTTATATGTCTATTATATAAAAACAGAAAAACATAGCTACATCTGAAATTTCAAAATTATCATAGCTAAATTTGCTTCATTTTCATTCTTGTTTTGCAAGGTAAAACCAAACACTCTTTTAAGCTTCACTTTCCTTAGCATTTATCCATTTCCCATTTCAATGTTCTAAACATTGCTTATGGGACTTTGTATAGAAAACATAAAACAGTTGGACCATGGAGTAAGTGTCAACCTGAGCTGAATCTGAAATTAAGAGCAGCACAAGATCACTTTCAGAGACAGTCTCCCATATGTCTCCTAAGGTCCCATTCTCTTCAGTAAATCCAGCTGTGCGGGCCTCATTAAAGGACCGAGAGCCCTTCCTCAAACCAATCTGCAAAAGAGATTGATATGCTTACCAGAATTTAATATAAGATCGAAAGATGTAACACCAAAAACAAAGAAATGTACAATGTGACAATAAACATAGGGATTGTCCTGTTCTGGTGAAGGAAAAGTATATGAAGAAGGCAGAGCAGCATACCTTGACAACTATATCAGAATCTGCCTCCAAAAGAGAATCCCTTAAATTCTGAGCTTGTGCAGGTCCCTGTAAATGTTCAAAACCTATAAAAACTAAAATAATTTTTAAACGCTGACGTGTCCAATTTAATCTTTGATGGAAATCAAGAAACAGTAGAGCACATATTGAATGAGGTGTGAACATGAATAAACAGTACTGAGAGTCCAGTACCAAACTTTTGTAAGAGCGACTTATTAAGATGTGTTAAATTTAATGATAAAAAAAAGACTATTTTTTCACAAACTTGGGCAAAAGTGTGTGAATTTAGTGACAATACTGAACCATAACATAGCTTTTCCACTACTGGGAGTAGCAAGAGGATTTAAATATAAGCCATTTTTTCACTTTGACGTGCGGTGTCACTGCTGGGAGTAGCAAGCAGATTGAAATATAACCATGTTTTTCACTTTGATGTGCAGAGTTGGATATACTAAAACAATGTAAAGCTAACGCATTTAGTACATAAATGAGAATAATTAAAGAGGAAAAAACAATACCAGATGAAACTTGCATGCAATAAGAGGGTATAATCTTACCTGTGAGCCCCATCCTATCACTCCGATCTGCTTTACTCCCTTAAAAGCATCAGGCAACAGTTTAAACAAATCCCTGCCACCTCTCACTATATACTGCACATTACCAATCAAGCAAAACCACATAATATCAAGGGCACAAACTTTCATTTCAACGCATGCATGTACACAAGAGTACCTCATCGTGTCCAGCAAGGGAGATTTTCTCCTTCTTGAACAGAGATGTTTCGAAATCGAACGAATCAAGCGATTTGATGGTGGCGGGAGCAGAGACCATGACGGCGGCAAAAGCAGAGCCGGAGATCGGGCCACCGGAGGGAAGAAGTCGAACTCTGAGAGGCTTGAGCAGAGCTTTGGAAGTTGAAAGGAAACCTAGGTTGTGATGTAGGATTCTGAAGGTCGGATTTGCTAGGGTTTTGAAGGAATCTACGGAGAAGGAAGTGGTGCGGCCACGGACATTACGAGTTAAGCAGAGGTGAGCCGAGGGAAAAGGGCTGCGTGTTCAACCAAGGTTTCTAACGACTGATATACGGAGTGTACCGTGTACGGGGTGAACAGATGGTGAGGTGGGGAAGTGTACATGAAATATTTGGTTTGATTATTTTAGACAAACTATAGGGCACTTTTTAAAACATTTCGTATTGTATCATGTAAAGTATTTTACGTGGAGAAGATGGTAGACTACTTCGCATGCCTTTCATAAAATACTGCAACGACTTTGCGTGCAATTTAAAAATAATTTACACATCTGGCAAAACAATGTAATCTATTTTACATGCAAAATGATTGCTTCCTTATACTTCACATTCAATCACTTCGCAAAAAGATTTGACGTGTAAACTACCAAACGAGCCCTTAGAGCATCCGCGACGCGGACTGCCTAGTCCAAGAAAAAATACGCCAGGTCATGAAACTAGACAGTGTGCGGTTACGAAGGACTCCAATGCATGTAATGTTCAATTCCGTTTTGCTGAGTTGAACAAAAAAATACTACACATCGTCAAAGAGACTTTGTGAGTGTAGAAAGCCTTCTACATAGGCTGACTTGTCAAATTTTACGGAAAAAAAAACGCTTTGGTCGAAAAAAGGGAGGGAAACAAAAACGCTCCTACGCTGATATAAAAAGCGCGCTGGTAGAGACAACCCTGATTTTGTAGAGGTTTTTATTCCAAATTGCTTAAGCGGTGGACTCTATTGAAAAGGTCGGCTATTCAGGTATGTCATGTTTTAATTTCCTCTACTTTATTGAAGAAAGAAGTTGATCCCAAGTATTCGGAGCAGTGAAGCTTTTACATGCTCTTGATTTGTTGTTCCCTCTTGAATATTTCATACGAAGTATTCAATTTAGATATGAGAGGATGGAATCTAGTAGATTGAATAAATTGATCAGAAACCATGAAATACGGAATATGTAAGGCTAAAGCACGTTTGAGAATTTCTAGAATCATTTGGGTTGCTAGAAATGTTTGGGTTGTTCAGTACATAATTTTGCAATTAGGGTTATAGTAACCGATAATTCTTTATAGCCAGGGACGGAGCCAGAACTCAGTCATAAGGGGGGCCAAGAACAAACACAAACACTAAAGAAAAAAATCTCTAAATAGGACAAAAAAGTTTATAAAGAGGATTATCATTGTTTTAATCTCAAAATAGGACTTATTGACTCCTATTTTGGGAAACTTTAATCAAATAATTTTTAATAGAACTAAATAAGATCTATTCAAGGAGTAAAACATATTTTTTCATATTTTTAATGAGGAATGATCCTTTCAAAATTACATGACGGGATCCACCATCCGGATGTCTGTGTTTGATGTGCTTCCGGATGGATTTTATTTTTGGGTGAAATTTTATGACAATATTCTTCATGATGTGTAGATTATTCACACCTAATTTCAGTTTAAAATTCAATCGACAAATCAGTTAAATAAATTATTGAAAAACACTGTACCAAAAAATATAAAAAAAAAACTCAATGTTTTTCCATAATTTATTTAATTGACTGTCCAATTGCATGTAAGCTGAAATACGATGGATATAATATACACTTGATGAAATAAACGTTTACAAAAATTCATCAAAAAATTCTACCCGAAAGCATCTCACATAAAAGCTTCTATTGAGTAATTTTGATCCAATCTTTACTGATTATTTCATTTATAATAGTAGTATTACTAAAAAATAAAAAAGTTGGGAGGGGCCATGGCCCCCCTACCCATACGCATACATCCGTCCCTGTTTATAGCTAAAACATATGGAGTAAAATCTTTGTGCTCTTTGTCTTGTTTTGGTTTGTTTTTCACATTATTGTTCTTACTTTATGGTGCCACAGAATATGACTATATGTGCTTCTAGAATAGGATAGCAGGGCCTATGTAGAAGGCTTTCTACACTCACAAAGTCTCTTTGACGGTGTGTAGTATTTTTTTGTCCAACTCAGCAAAACGAAATTGAATATTACATGCATTGGAGTCCTTCGTAACCGCACACTGTCTAGTTTCATGGAAGGCGACATTTTCCCTTTACTGGGTGTTAATCAGGAGGAGGTGGGTGAATGACCTGGATTGTCCCCAGATACGCGATAAAATAGACCTCGATAATCTCCCGCCGTTGTGGTTGAATTTCTGAACAACCAGGTCTCCCTCGGTTAGACACCCTACCTTGTGATAAAGTAAGGCAGAGACCCCAAATCCGAATGACTTATGTTTTACTACCTTCGTCCCTTAAAACTTTGGCAAAGTAAAAACTGTGTGGTTGATGTTTGTACAAATGAGATAGAAATAACAGAAATCACAAAATATTGATTAAAAGGGAAAGTGACAAATTTTTGGGATGTCCCAAAAAGGAAAGATGACAAAGTTTTAAGGGATAAAGGGAGTAATTTGTAAGCATTTGGGGGGAGGCGGCCCGACCAATCCGGACCCGACAGATCAATCCAGTTAGAGTTACATTTTTATCTACTACTTTTATTTTGGTTATATATATGAAATTATTTCATAAAATTATATTGTTCTAAATTGTACTACCCTTGTCCCCCTAATATTGGGACGGAAGGAACTGATGTGATTTTTAGGAAAAGTAGAATTATGCGGTTGATAATGGTTGATAAAGTGGAAATGAAGCAGGAATAAATTAGAGCAACATAAATGTTACCAAATATGGTATGGAACATAATAGTGAGACATCAAAAAATGAAAAAATGAGACAATTATAGGGGGACGGAAGGAGTACAATTTTATCAAATTTTAGAATATATATGAAATTAGTTAGATCGTGAGAGGCTGGCGATTCTTGGGGACTCGGGCGTCTCAGTCGGCGTGCCGGTCGGTGAGTGATCGGGTGTTAGCTACCGAACTCAAGCTAATGAGAGGGCTGGCGGCGGAAAATCAACCCCAATTCGGATTTCATTCGGTTCCTTCCCTCTCGAAGAAGACCAATTAGAAGACAAACAGCCCTGCTGCGCGCACCACAAAAAGTACTTGGCGCACCCAATTTCCACCCTTGTTGGACAATTTTATCCCTCTTTTAATTTCTTTCGTTACGGCACTTCTGAGCATAGACAATTTTCCCTTTTTTTTCATGGGTCATTTGGGTGTTACGGTTCTATACTCCTGCCACTTTTTCATCCACTCCAAATTTTCAATCTTTCCCTACCAAATTATTATAGTTCTTCTCTATACTAATTATCTCATCTTTTTAAAATAGTTAGTCTCGTCTAAGTTATTTTATACTTTAGAATTAAAATGTTTTTAAATATTAAAAATAAATTGATATAAATAACATTTTTAGTCGCGATTGTTTTAGGCTTTAAATTGTTCGTTTTGTGTCCAGCAAATCAGGTTGTATGGTATGAGGTGGCCGATTCTATGTCAATTCTCAGGGCTCACAACCGGATCTTTCATAATTGTCTGAATGTTACCTTGTATCTTTTCTCGATTTTAATACAAAAGCCGATCATTTATATTAAAAACAAATTATTTAGAACCCGTTTGGTGACACTGAAATCGGCTCTAGCGGTTGATTCTGCTAAAATTTACAAAGGTCTAGCTGAAGTGGCTGATTCTGCTTATTTATGAAATAATTATATTTAAAATATATTTTATTAATAAAATAAAGAAAAAATAACATGAAAAATAACTAAAATAGTTATCTACAGTAACTTCAGCCAATACAGCCAGAAAAATCACTCCAACATTAGTTTTTCTTATGATTACACAATTCTGCGTGCGAAGCCCGAATGAAAGCAAATAGAGGTAAATAATAGCTTACTTAATAATAACAGATATTTGTTTTTTTTTTAAAGGATTGGATTTTTTTAAAACATTGCGCATTTAAGAAAATGTTTAAGGGTGTTAGACTGTTAGAGCACTTGAGCACTTTGTGGGGACCGGGGAGCCCCCGACTACCCGAGCAGCTGTTATAGTACGAAGTACTCCATAAAGAATTAAAAGGGGCAAATCTGTCTTATGAAGGTTACATTAAGCACTTTTGGTGGTGCGCGATTGCGCGAAGCAATACCCGAAGACCAAATAGAGATCTGGGACAACCCTTTCTAGCAAAGGAGGGACTCTTGTGTCGGCCGGGTTCAAATTAGCCCAATCGGTGATTGACTTCGACCACCCGGGGAAACGAGCGATCATCCATCAAACGAATCTGCTTCTGCCTGGCTTCCGTCGGTCGGTCTCTAACCAACGTCTTAGCGGGTACTCACGACCTTCTGCTCATTTTGTATGATGCCAACTTCTTTGGTGGCTTCTTTCGCATTATCAAAAAGGGCGGTGAATCATTATTCATTCCCGGATGACGGAATAGATTGGGATTTAAACGTTTTCTGGCAGGGATTACAAGAGCGTCTAAATTAATGAAGGATTTTGCACCAATATCTTTGAAAATTCCGCAGGCTTCAATTGAGGTTATTCCAGGTAAAATTGATTCTATCTCTGAGATGGATCTTCTCACTTCGTGCTTGGATGATGATCACTTCCATGGAAGTGATTTCTCTATTTCGGGGGTTTTATTTCAAGTTGATATATTGAACTTTCTGCATGTTGTGAGAAATCCTTGGTATTGCATACTGCTAATGACCCTTGTAGATCTGTGCTTATACCATAAATTGATCCTCCTTTATCAAGCGTTAAGGATTTCTTTGAATCTTCTATGACGAGTGAGGTGAAATCACTTTCTCAATTTTTAGCCGATGAATTTGAAATAATTCTTGCCTCTTTTTTTGGGTAAGGAGGACCCTTTGATTGAGAAACATGGAGAACAAAAAGTAAACGAATTTGAGAATCCATGTCACGCCCCAGACCGCAATCCAAGCGCGTGTACAACCGCCGTATAATCAAGTGACGTCACCCGCGAGTCAACCTCACTTGATTACACAAGGCGTTCGAGAAAAATAATCCATCCATACTCAGTAGTAAACATACATAACAACATCACATTTAAACCAATGAATAGCGGAAATATTCAACGGTAAGTCATAAGCCACAACCGGCCAATAACATGGGCATGCAAGCCCCAAAAGAATAGTCTATAACAAATAAAAATATCCATGAGCAATGTTTGGTACTTTGAAATAAAATGAGGAA